TAATCTGGAACTATGTTTTTGTTTGGTCGTTGAGATAGTTGTCCTGTCTGGTTTCAGGTATTAATCTTTGACTTAAGAAAGATAGTTTTCTCGACTTGTTACAGGTATTAATCTTCGATCTCTTCATGTAGATAGTTCTCCTGGCTTGTTACAGGTATTAATCAACAGTCGATCGTCCACAGATAGTTTTCCTGGATGGTTTCAGGCATTAATCTGGAACTTGTTTTACTGGTCACTTAGATAGCTTCCTTGTCTGGTTTCGGGCATTAATCTATGGCCTTCTGTATTTGTTGGTAAACCGGTCTTGTTTCGGGAGTTCATACCACTTGGTCGTATAAATAGTTTCCCTGTATGGTTTCGGGCATTAATTTATGGCATGCTGTATTTGTTGATAGTGTTTGTCTGTCTGTTAATTTAACCTGAAAAGGTAAAATCAGTTTCATGCGGTGTTATGATGCTTGAAGTGCATGATGATCCCAAAATAAATGAGATTATGATATATGTATTTGTATGCACATGCCATGATGTATGAACATGTAATGTTGTTGTGCAGTATCTTTGTCTGGGAGAATAAATCCCTGACAGCTGCTGAAGAGTATCGGAAAGCTGAATCCCGGACTGCTGTTGTTGGGTGAAGAAAGTTATTCTTCAATTTCCACCGGGGATAATGAATGGAGATATTTTTGTTGGCGATTCCCTTTCTCTACCGAGGATCTTTGACTTCTATTTGAGAATGATTTTTCCGGGGGGGGGGGGGGAGATTTATGTTGGAAGATTCATCAATTTGGAGAAATAAACTCCGTTGGGGGATGAACTTCTGTAGCTAGAGAAATAAACTCTACTAGGGATAAGGTTTTATAAACTACTTGAGTTTTACAAAACTTTGTTGAGGAAGGTGAACTCCATAAATTGCATGGGGATTTTGTGGAATTCCTGTAGGGAAATCTTAAGAAACTTGGCGGCTTCTCTGGAGATTTTGGAGCAGTAATTGGAGATTTTTTCTTCTTACAGGGATGCGAGAACTACTGACATCAATAGGTTACCTGCTGAGAATATGGCAGTGACCTTGTAGTAGAATGCCCCTGCCTCTGTACCTTCTGGAGAAGGTATCTGCCGGGGAAGACATCTGCGGAGATCTTATGGATGGCCCTTAGATATTGTTTCATTTTTTAAAGTCATTAGCAATTGCCTTTCTGCTTTTAGGTGTATATTTCTAAGCAATAGTCATATTCAAATGCATATGTTCAAGAATAATCACTGGACGTTTTCACACACAAAACAAAAAAGTAAAAACAGAAGTTTGCAACTTTCAAAGGAATAGTTCTCTATTAACTTGAAATAAGCATTTTTGTACAAGGAGACATGCATCATAGTAAGAGAATGATGTCGTTAGAAATTAAATTATACAAAAATAGTATAAAAAGAAAACAGTTATGTAAAATAATCCCATTGGGTTCCCATTCTGCTACTGCCTTTATTTCCTTAAGCATCTCATCACTTTCCCTGCTTGTCTGAAGCTGATTGGATTATTTAATATTGCTAGAGCTTGATAGTTGATACTGAAGATTGTCTATAAGGTGATCTAACAGGACATAGTTATACGCTTTAAATCCCTAAATTTTGCCTGGACCGCCCTTTCGGGTTTTCAGTCCACCGGGATACCCTTTTTTGCCCAAGATGCCTTTTCAGGTTTTCGACTTGCCGGGTGTACAGATTTTTTATATGTATATCCCTAATTTTGCCCGAACCCTTTTGGTTCACCGTGATGCCCTAATTTTTTCCTATTCCATTCGACCTAGCAGGTCTTTGTTTATACATATTATCTTTTAACTATGTTCGCGTTTACAAGGTGCGGAAGGTCGTCACTGTCCATAGTGGTTATGATTATGGCTCCACCAGGAAATATGTTCTTGATCACAAATGGCCCTTCGTATGTCGTAGTCCATTTTCCCCTGGGATCACCTTGTGGCAGTATAATGTGCTTGATTTCCAGATCACCGGCCCGATAGTCCTGACATCTGACCTTCTTGTTAAAAGCTTTGATCATACGCTTTTGATACATCTGATTGTGACAGATAGCCGTGAGCATCTTCTCATCAATCAGGTTTAATTGGTCAAGTAGATCCTGAACCCATTCGTCTTTTCTCAATCCTGCATCCTTCATGATTCTCAAGGAAGGGATTTGGACCTTAATGGGTAGGACAACTTCCATACCGTATACCAAAGAGAATGGACTTTCCCCTGTTGATGTGCACATTGTGGTGCGGTAACCATGAAGAGAAAATGGTAGCATCTCATACCAATATTTATATGTCACTGTCATCTTCTGTATGATTCTCTTGATATTTTTGTTAGCAGCTTCAACAACGCCATTCATCTTCGATCGATAGGGAGAAGAGTTATGATGCTGGATGTTGAATTGAGTGCAAAGCTCGGTGATCGTAGTGTTGTTCAGATTGGTACCATTATCTGTAATGATTCTTTCTGGGATATTGTACCGACAGATAATGTTATGTCTGATGAATTGGGCCACGACTTTCTTGGTAACAGAAGCAAATGAAGCTGCTTCAACCCAATTCGTAAAGTAATCAATTACAACCAGGATGAAGTGGTGCCCATTAGAAGTTGTAGGTCTAATATCTCTGATCATATCAATTCCCCACATTTCAAATTTCCAAGGAGTAGTCAAGACTTTCAGAGGAACCAGATGTACATGTACCTTATCAGCATAGATCAGGCACTTATAGAAAGTTCGTGAATGTTGATAACAGTCTTCTTCCAGAGTGGACCAGTAGTATCCTGTTTGTTGGATCTTTTTAGCCATTGAGTGCCCACTAGAGTGGGAGCCAAAGGTACCTTCATGCAAATCAACCATAATCTTTTCTGCCTTACTCTTGTCTACACACCGAAGCAAGGTAGAGTCGTTGTTGCGCTTGTAGAGGATCATGTTACTGAGGAATAACTTGGCAGAGAACCTTCTTAGGAACTTCTTATCATTGAATGGAGCTCCCTCAGGATATTCTTGGCCTTCAAGATATTTTTTTACTTCATGGAACCAATGCTTGTCCACTATTTCTTCAATACCAATCTCATGACAGTATGTTGGTTCGTCCATCCTCTCAATGGTGACCTGAGGAGCCTCATTATCCCACCTGACCTTGAACACGGATGACATCGTAGCTAGAGCGTCCGCTAGTTGATTTTCCTCTCGTGGAAAATGCTCCAAAGTAATTTCTTCAAAGTATGGGATTAGTGTAAACACATGTTCTTTATACGGGATGAGATTAGGATGCTTCGTGTCCCATTCTCCTTTGATCTGGCTGATTACCAAAGCCGAATCTCCAAACACACTTAAGAACTTGATCCTTAAATCGATTGCAACTTTGAGATCCATGATACATGCTTCATACTCAACCATATTGTTGGTACAGTTGAAACATAGCCTGGCAGTGAAAGGAGTATGATAGTGTCATACCCCAATTTTTGACCAAAGATCCCATTTTTATTTTTTGCATTTTTGTACAAAAGTCAAGGTCACTAAATACAGTCGATTTTAACCTCTCACCTTCGAGCATTGACTATGCAGAAATTGTCAAGTATTTTGAACATTCTTAGCCTATGTATCACTAACTTCTAATCAAGCACGAAGTGTGTGTTTTTTGATTTCAAGTGCAGAGACAGGTCTAAATCTAGGACAGCAGGCGTTGCACCTCAATTAGGGTTTTGAGTCCCTCAAACCATAAGTACAATTGATTATTGATTCTCGAAGACTGATTCATCAAGACACGACTTCTAAAGTTTTGTTCAGGCTTATTTTGATCACAGTTGTTTCAAGTGTGATAGCTTTTGTCTCGAGGATCTTTAGAGGATCGTCTGTTTATTTCCACGCCTTGTTTGATAAGTGGTCTCAAGCTTCTTCCAAAATTCCCCAAACACAGTCAAGATTTCATCATCATTGGTTTACATGTGCATCAAGATGCTTTAGAATGCTAAGAAGGATCAAGTTTGCAAGTCGATTCAAAGCATTTAGACCAAAAGTCAACTCTTGCAAGTTCAAGTTCAAACGGTCATAACTTCTTCAATTTTCAACGTCTTGAGGCGATTCTTTTGCAAAGTATCACAAATAGCGTTGTTTATGAGATTACTTAAAAGATTAAGGTTCAAGTCATGCCACAAACGTTTTCTCAATAACGTTTGATTTTTCTGTTGGGATAATTTATGAAACTGGAGTTTTAGTCCAATGATTCTTTGATTGCTTGTGGACTACTTCAAGTCAATTTGCAATTGAACTGTAGCGATCATTGGATTAAGGTGGATTGTCGATTAAATTTCTTAAAGGCACGATTTGCGTTATTGGTCTGTATTGCAAATTACTATGAGGTGAAGACGCGAGTTAGGGTTTAGAATTCTTCAAATTCTTCTGGTTTCCAAGCTAACTTGGATTTGAGATTTGAATCAAGATTGGATTCATTGTTGTGAAGTTTTCTTTCAAGTAACCAATACCATAAAGCCAAAATATCCAAGTTTTTCAAAAACACATTAGGGTTCTTATTTGCAAGAGAGATTCAAGAAGGTTTATGAATTTGATGTCTTGAGTAAGATGCATTCCAATTTCTCGAGGTTTATTTCAAGAGTGCAAGTTCATTAATGTGAATTGTTCAAAATATCAAGAATTATTCAAGACCTTTCTCAAAATTCAACTTCATTCATCCTTCATGCATTTCAAATTCAAAGACAAATTTCGACACAAATTTTAATTGGAATCAAATTGTGTGTCAATTCGGACTAGAGATTAAATTAAGAGAGCAAGATCATTTGGTGTAGAATTTATTCAAGATTTTCATTCAAGATTCATACTTTCATTCATGTGAATTCAAGAGGTTACAAAATACTTCCATTACAAAATCATCACCATTTCAAATCTCATTATAAAACCATACACAAACACATGAATTCCTAAGTCCAAAAGTGCTAAAATTACATGAAATCTTCAAGACATATCAACTTGGTGCCTTGCCCAAAATTCTACTTTGCATTCTTGATGCTAAACCACCACCAAAATAATCATGTTTCTCTATCAATATGCTACTGTCTTGCTGCCACAACAAGTCAAAAATTCTGCACAAATGGTCCAAGAAACCTGCAAAAACAGTCAAAATGCAGCCCACAAAGAAAACAAAAAAAAAACTGCTATTGTATGCTACTCCAAAACCTGCACTAAAAGAGTCCCAAAAATGTCTTTTGTGTGCTGTCCGAGACCAGCTGATATAAACCCTGCATATCAGTCCAAAAATAATGCCAAAAACCTATTGCTATGCTTTCCAAACCCTTTCCAAAGTAGTCCAAGAAATAACATCAAAAATAGCCATACAAATTTGCATTCAAAAAGAAATAAAACAGTTAACTACAAATAGTTCAAATGCACCAACTTTCCCCCCCAAAATTTATCATTCTTTCTCTATAAAATGAAAACATCATTCAACAGAAGGGAGGAAGGGAATTAGATATAGAAATCTCACAAAATAATCAGCAGAGAAATACAAAAAATTCTCCTAAAACCTTTTAAGCAGAGATCACCAGCTTCAGCTTATCTCTACTCAAAACCATCCAAACCCCAACTCCCAAACTTCCTACAACAAAATAAAACCATACAGTAGGAGAAAACTCAGAAAGAACGATAGGGAAGCACGTTACCTCCTCTTTAGTTTTCTATTTGTCTCCACTCCAAATTCAGGTTTTGTTTCTTTCATATTCCTCTGCATAATTTTAACATGGCGATTTTTGTCTTGTGTTCATACTCGTGAATCCATAATATTGCTGTTGACGTTGTTGTTGATATTGTTGAATCTGAACCATACTATTGTTGCAAAATCTGAGCCGGAAATCTTGAAGTTGAACCGTATTGAATAATTGTTGTTGTTGTTTAAATTTCTGAATCGGCGTAGGAGTCAAAACGCACGAAGGCTAAAACGCTACTCTTAAACGCTGTATTGTTTTCTTTTCTGCGCGTGATAGAAACAGAGAAAAATTAGTTAAGATAAAAATCCCAAAGATAGAAAAAAGAAATAAATTTCATACAACACAAGAATCTCGCAAAACCCCAGATTAAACCATTTACCTTCTCTCCCATCACCATAGTCTCATACCTATTAAAAATCTGTCAAAAGAGTTTCTTCCATGAAAACAATTACATTGTCTAACCTGTAACATTGCTCTAACCTGAAAATTCAAAACCATTCCAAACAACATAACCTTGCAACGACAAAGAGATTTGAAGCAAAAATAATAATAAATAGATAATAGGAGAAAGAATTGGGATCAGAACTGAAACCACCGAACGATGTTCCCCAGCTGCGCATCACCTCTGGGCATCCGTGCAAATCACGCCGCCGTGAAGCCAAAACCAGATCCGCACACCCTTCCACTCCCTCACCCTGTTATAACCCACCTCAAAGCTTGGCACAACCTACAGAATTCCAATAACTTTGACAACACAAGAATTTTCGGATTCTCAGAATAAAAAGAGAAGAGGAGAGAGATCTTATTACCTGGATTTTATATTTGAGAAGAAGATAGGGCGGTTGAGAGAGATTGAGGAACCAGGTCATGACTGAGTTTAGTTCTGTTTATTATTTCACGATTGAAAAAATGAGAAAACAAGTTTGTTGTGGAGCGTGAAAAGCTTGTGAAAAACAGAGGAAAAATTGGAAGAAGTAGCATGAAACAGATATACCGTGAAACGGCCAGTTAGTTTAGTTCTAAGGTTTTTTTTTAATCCTAATTTTAGTTTGGGCCCAGCCCTTTAAGTCCATTCCTTGCACTCCAGCCCAGCCGGATTGCTTATTATCTACTCCCTTTATTCTGTTTGACACCTCCATATCTGTTTATTTTCTCTAGCATTTATTTAATTTAATTTAATTAGTAAGTTTAATCAAATAGATATGCAAGTTTTAATTAGACAAATCTTAATAATTAGCTTGAATTTAGAATTAATTTAGTAATTTTAGAATTATTTCCATAAATCCTAGAATTTTTATTTAGTTTAGATTCAACTTAATGACTTTAGAATTTTATTTTGTTTAGATTTAATTTAATAGCTTTAGAATTTTTATTTGATTTAGATTTAGTTTAGTAATTTTAGAATTTTATTTGATTTAGAATTTGTTTAATAATTTTAGAACTTTTATTTGATTTAGAATTAGTTTAATAACTATAGAATTTTATTTGATTTAGAATTAGTAACTTTAGAATTTTCATTTGATTTAGATTTAATTTAATAGTTTTAGAATTTTTATTTGATTTAGATTTAATTTAGTAATTTTAGAATTTTATTTGATTTAGAATTTGTTTAATAATTTTAGAATTTTTATTTGATTTAGAATTAGTTTAATAACTTTAAAATTTTTATTTGATTTATAATTAGTAACTTTAGAATTTTCATTTAATTTAGATTTAATTTAATAGCTTTTGAATTTTTATTTGATTTAGATTTAGTTTAGTAACTTTAGAATTTTATTTGATTTAGAATTAGTAACTTTAGAATTTTCATTTGATTTAGATTTAATTTAATAACTCTAGAATTTTTATTTGATTTAGATTTAGTTTAGTAACTTTAGAATTTTATTTGATTTAGATTTAATTTAATAACTTTAGAATTTTTATTTGATTTAGATTTAGTTTAATAACTTTAGAATTTGTATTTGATTTAGATTTAGTTTAGTAGTTTTAGAATTTTATTTGATTTAGATTTAGTTTAGTAACTTTAGAGTTTTTATTTGTTTTAGATTTAATTTAATAACCTTAAAATTTTAGTTTAGTTTAGATTTAATTTACTAATTTTAAAATTTTAATTTAATTTAGATTTAATTTAGTAATTTTAGAATTATTTTTATAACCTTAGAACTTGTAGTTAGTAGAATTATCTTAGTAAATAATCTTAGAATTTTAATTCAGTTTAAATAACTTTTTTAGGTAATTAGTTACATTCTCTTTTATTTGTATTTAAATATCTCTGTCATTTTAATTTTTCAGTTCCTTTTGGTCATTAATCTGTTTAGTTAGATTTATTTTCCTCTGAATTTTTGAATGCTTATATTTTGATATCCATTTTATGCGCTCGATTTATTTCAAGGCAAAGAATTAAATTTGTTGACTTCATGTCATTGAGCATCTGATACGATTGTGAGAGACCCTTTCATACATTTTAGTTTTTGTTAAACTTAAGTTAAATCTCCAAAAAAATCAATTTTTAAACTTACCCTCTTTTAAATCAAAACCTCGATATTAGGTCGTTGTATTTTCAAAATCTCGTCCACACCCATTTTGAACAAGCAAACAATTTTAACCAAAAAACGGATATTTCAAAAGGTTCCTACGGAGTACCGCAATTGCATTGGGTGATAATACCTTCCCATTGCATAACCAACCCCCGAACTTTAGATCTCTTTCAAAAAACACATTATATTTTCATTACTTTTAAGTATTATTTTACATTGCATATTTTAGGGTTTTATTTCGCTCTTTTCCCTTTTCCCTTGGAAATAATAAAGCGCGGTGGCGACTCTTGCTTATTTGCGAGTCAAGTTAATTAATAGCTTGATCTCCGATTTTCACCGCTACAGATAGCCCTAAGGAGATATGATCACAATGCTGATGCTATTGCCAAGAGCGTTGGAAGCTCCGTCAAAAACCATAGTCCATCGGGATCCTTTTTCAGGTCCTTCATCTGGTCCAGGTTCTTCACAATCAATTACTAACATGATGTTCTCGTTCGGGAACTCAAAATTCATGGATTGATAGTCATCCACAGCCTGATGATCCAAATGATCAGCTAGCACACTTTCCTTAATTGCTTTATGGGTTGTGTATTAAATATCGTATTCGGTCAGGATCATTTGCCATCTTGCTATTCTTCCGGAGATAGCGGGCTTCTCAAAGATGTACTTGATAGGATCCATTTTAGATATCAACAAATTAGTGTGGGTCAACATATACTATCTCAGTCGGAAAGCAGCCCATGCCATAGCGCAACAAGTTTTCTCGAGCAGCGAGTATCTTGTTTCACAATCGGTAAACTTGTTGCTAAGGTAGTATATCGCATGCTCTTTTCGACCAGACTCGTCATGCTGCCCCAGCACATACCCCATTGAGTTTATAATACCATTAAGTACATGATCAAAGGTCTTCCTTCAACCAGAGGCATTAGACTTGGAGGCTCTTGAAGATATTCCTTGATTTTTTAAAAGGCATACTGGAAATCATCATTCAACCTCACTGCTTGACCTTTCCTCAGTAATTTGAAGATTGGTTCACAAGTAGCGGTCAGATGTGAAATGAATCTGGCTATGTAGTTTAAGCATCCGAAGAATCCTCTAACTTCCTTCTCAGTGTGAGGAGTTGGAATTTCTTGTATAGCTTTGACTTTTGCAGGATACTCTTCAATGCCTTTGTCGTTGACGATGAAACCTAAGAGCTTACCGGATCTTACACAGAAAGTGCACTTATTCGGGTTTAGCCTCAGTTTGAACTTCTTCAGCCTGTCAAATAGCTTCTATAGGTGATCAAGGTGCTCCTCTTCAGTCTGAGACCTCGCTATCATGTCATCAATGTAGACCTATATCTCGTGATGGATCATATCATGAAATAAAGCTACCATGGTGCACTGATAGGTTGCCCCGGCGTTCTTTATTCCAAATGGCATAACTTTGTAGCAGAAAGTGTCCCACTGTGTGACGAAGGTTGTCTTTTCCATGTCCTCAGGTGCCATCTTGATCTGATTATACCCAGAGAAACCATCCATGAAGGAGAATACCTTATGTTGTGCATTATTGTCAACCAGAACATCAATGTGGGGAAGCAGGAAGTCATCCTTAGGGCTTGCTCTATTCAGTTCTCTGTAATCCACACACATACGTACCTTACCGTCCTTCTTAGGTACTGGAACAACATTAGAGACCCATTGTGGATAGGATGTGATAGCTAAGAAACCAGCATTGAACTGTTTCATGACTTCATCCTTGATATTTTCTGACATATTCGGCCGCGTACGAAGAACCTTCTGTTTCACTGGAGGGAAGTCCTTTTTTATAGGTAGGAGATGAACTACAATGTTGGTGTCAAGTCCCGACATGTCTTCGTATGACCAGGCAAAAACCTCAACATAGTCGTGTAACATCTATATTAACCGCTGTTTGACACCGGGCTCCAAGTTAGCACCTATCTTGACTTATTTTTTGTCCTCTTCAGTTCCCAGGTTCATTGTCTCAACTGGCTCCTCATGAGGCTGTATTTCCCCTTCTTCCTGTTGTAACAGTCTGGAAAGCTCTCTTGGTACCTCACAATCTTCCCCACCTTCGTCCTCGGCTTGGTTGATCGGATTTTCAAAGTCATAATGAGCAATAGAAGAACCGTTATCAATGGGATCCAGAATGGATGTGGATACGCATTTTGATATGTGAGTGTGTGTAAGAGCATAGCTGTTTTAATAAAGTAAAAGAGGAAAAGAAAGGAAAAGAGCGCAAAATTTGTATGTAAAATGTCTAATGCTTTATTAATGACATATGATAATGAAACATGATAACCCTCACAAAATAACTATTGTGCCTCGGGTAAGACACAAGGTTTTAGAGTTTGTATTATTCATTTATTACATATCCAAAAACAAAAAAGGGCAATTACTCCTGAATAAAAGTAATTGGCACAAAGTCTTTATCCTTCTAGTTGGTGAGTCCTCCACTAGCAGTTGAGAAGATCCATTGGTCCATGTCATTGTCACTGCCACTGTCTTCCAAAGCATTAAAACCATGATTATCGACGCGTAGGGGTGGTCCTCTGGAACGAGCACGACGAATAGCCCTTTGAGCACCTGATGTGAAACCCAAACCAAATTTGTCATATTTGTAAGAAATATCTGGAAGTTGGCCCCAAATTATACACACACCGTCTTCAACAACTGCCCTGGCATCTTTCAGAGAAGCCATCTTCAGCGGAGGCCTGGTGGTCTTTGGAACACTGACAGAGGTTTTGGTTGCAGCAACGGTATGTGGAACCTCCTCAAAATTCTGACAGGGGGTCTCAATAAACTCTCCGTCCATTTCAACGTACCTGAAAGAGTTCAGGTGGATTACCATGTACTATTCCTCCCCATGGATCGTGATAATTTTCCCATTGACTAGGTATTTCAGCATCTGATGTAAGGTGGAAGCAACAACGCCAGCCCCATAGATCCAGGGTCGACCAATAAACAAGACTAAGATGGGCGGATGTTCATCACATAGAAAGTGGAATTAAAAGTCTGGGTACCCACTTTGATAGGGATGTCCACCTCCCCATGCACCATTCTTTTAGAATCCTCGAAGGCTCTCACCACAATTTTACTAGGCTTCAAGGTCAATCCTTCACAATCTAACATGTCAAGGGCCTTTTGGGCAGAACATTCAGTGATGAACCTGTATCCACTAGAACATGGGCCAAAGTAGTGCCCCTGCACTCAATAGAAACGTGCAGGGCATCATTATGTTTCCTTTCGCTAGGAGTCAAATCATCATCAGAGAAACCTAGCCCATTGTTAGCAGTCAAACTGGCCACACAGTCTTCAAATTGATCAGCG